CACGCACGCACGCACGCACGCACGCACACACACACACACATACATACATACATACATACATATATCTTAATTGTCTCTAATATCATTTAAGACTCATCTCCAGACCCCCTATGATCGTTGCTGCGTGCTAACCAATGCGCTCATCATTTATCTATCCTTTATCTGTCCTTCCGGCCGGCCGTATCCTACGTTTATTTATATCTACCCCGCCCATCAGCCTGCGCCCATCTATCTACACCCATCCATCCTACACACATCCTAACGGCGTGTAAAATTATCTATAAGTTGAAAAACCGATGGAAAGTATCGCAGTGTATTGAGATTACGAATTCACGATACAATGAGTCATCTTGATGTATACACGTGTGCGTGTGCGTGTGCGTGTGTGCGTGCGTGCGTGTATGTATGTGTGTGCGTGCGCGCGCGCGTGCGTGTGTGTATGTGTATGCGCACGTATACTGAATCTTGAATCTTGAACGTGTTAGATGGTAAGATTTATTGGACTCTCTACAGACTACACCGTGTATAGTTACACTGCTACTCCAGAACGCGAGTATATCTAAACACGCACGAAATGATGTGCCAGAGAGCTACTGCGTAGTACATTCTGGTACAACCTACGATCTAATTCCGGAGTTGTTTACCCAGCGTCACTAGTACTGTAGAGTAGAGTAGAGGAAAATTGATAGCCTATATAGTTTTGCCAGTAAACCGCAGAAAAAAATGGCCAAAACATTTCCGACCGGAATAGTCCTCAGCTTTTTTTATTCATACGCATAAGAGCACGCGCACACCCGCGCGCACGCACGCACGCACGCACGCACGCACGCACAGAAACGTACGCACTGATTTGCATACATGACTGTGTGCATGCACGCGTGCGTGTGTGCGTGCCTGCGTGTGTGCGTGCGTGCCTGCATTCGTGTGTGCGTGTGTGCGTGTGCTGGTTTGCTTGCGCGCGTGCGTAATCGTAAATTCATTTCCCAGTTTATACTTACATATCACGTTGACACCCATGTGTACGTGCTTATAATCATTATGAATTTATTACGTCATTACAGCAGCTATATAGACGGATCGTGAGTGATAGACGTTGAATAAATAATTACAATCCCAGCTATTCGAAGCCCTCGCGGCGCCATAGAAGCATGCGCATGCGGCGTCGATTCTACCTCCTCGTTAACTCACAGCCTCCCTCGCTTATCACGCTAGTGAAAGCAGGAGTACCTCTTTATTATTGATTGGGTGCCCAAGTTGACCTAGGTTATGTAACACATTAATAAAAATTTAATCGGCCAACAGATGGCGATATGTGTCTTATATAAGAGACGCAGCAGTATGCCCAGCTTTTATGAAACAAATGAATTATTATTTTGGTTAAATTTTATATTTAACTTATAGAGTGCATACCCACCAATCACATAAGTGATGAAAATATGACTAGTCAGCACAAATTTTCATGTAGCATAGCGTTAAGCCTGTGCTCGCGCATACCCAGTATCTGCTAAATAGGATAAGATTGCGTTGAAATTATGCCTTTAAAATAAAGAGCGAGACTACTAGTCGCAATGGCTTGAAATGGAAAATAATTAACGTCACATTAATCTCTTTAATAATGATAGCATACGCAAGTTGATCAAGTCGATGTTACACTAGTAAAATGTAAATCGGCACATAGGTGGCGATATGTGTCCTACCTACATGACATATACAGCTGTGTCTAGCCTTTATCCCACAGTCCAAATTAACCCACAAGTCTCAATAATAATCACTAGGTTCCCAGTCGTTCCAAATTTCCACGAAGCTTTGTGTAACATCTGCGTTCGCGCATGTCTAATATCTGCTAAATAAAATAATATTGTGTTGAGATTATATATACTTTTAAAATAGATCGAAATTTAATTTTAATTATTCAAAGAGGACATGCCCACAAGTACTACGACGTGAATACTCTCTCTCTCTCTCTCTCTCTCTCTCTCTCTCTCTCTCTCTCTCTCTCTCTCTCTCTTTCTCTCTCTTTCTCTCTCTCTCTGATGACGTTGTCTCTCTCCCGCAGACACATTCGTCCGAAGCTGACGCTGTTTTGCTGTGAGAAGGGCGCGCACGTCTACCATGCCATCTACATGGAGCTGCTCACGCAGGAGGAGCTGCGATGCAAGTGCGCGCAACTGTTCAACGTTGCAGCCAGCGCCATCGAAAACCTGCTGCTGAAGGGACCCTCTGCCATTAAGGTCATCATCACTGAAGAGGTGAATGCCGGCGCCCCCTGGAGGGCATGGAACCTATCATTGTTATTCTAATTATCGTCGACATTGTTATTATCATTGTCATTGTCATTGTCATTGATATTATCATTGATATTGTTATTGTTATTGCAATTTATATTATCAATGATATTGTTATTGCCGTTGTTATTGTTATTGCCATTGTTATTGTCATTGATATTGTCACTGTCACTGTCATGGCGGTCTCGGGTAGATGCGACAGTATTTTTTGTAGTGTGCTTGTTAATAAATACTCACGAGAGTCGAACTGTGATGCTAAAGGCCATTCTGTTCCTTGCAGGTAATTCGAAACTTCAAGGACAGAAGTCGATACGTTCTGGAGTTGCAGAAAGGTGAGGAAATCTAAACTATTCGATGACTTTTCCTTGATGACTTATCGGAAACGGTCGTGACATTGACGTGATGCGATGAAAGTTTGTGAAAGTAGTGTGTGAGTGTGCGTGTGAGTGCGTGCGTGCATGTGTATAATATATGTGTGTGTGTGTGCGCATGCTTACATGTGTGTGCATGCTTACATGTGTGCGCGCGTGCGTGTGCGTGCGTGCGCGTGTCTGTGTTGGTGTCGCATGAGTGATCATTCTGGACGTGACAAATTAAAAATACTTTCACCGTGAAATGAACCCTAGGATGCTCCATGCATGTCTTGCCACATATCTATATAGGTTGTGATATCATTTTAATCTATCGTGCGTACACACAAACAGCACTTAATCCCATGTTTGTTTGCATTCGCAGTGCCCACCAATCAGTTCGATATCATTCTGGGTTTGCCGGAATGATAGGCAGGGAGCGATGCTCTCATACGTGCTGACGGAACATGGTCCACAATGCCACGTCGAGTCGCATCAAGCGTCGTTCTCGCGCGGCTACATCCGACATGTATGTGTCAGCGCATGTAAGCCAGCGGCGGACATATCTGTTACACGTCTAGGGGAGTGCGGGGAAGGAGAGGTGGGGGGGCGCCGCGGTAGCGTTGCGTAGAGGTTGCGACATTTCCAGTGCCGGCTACCCGCCACTCGTCCGTGTCTCGCAGCGGTGGTGGCAGCACCGGTCGCACGCACAAGTCGTGGCGACGGCGAGACGCCTCGTCGTTATTCGTTGTCGGTCGTCGAGCTGTTGCCGTTCTGTGATGGCGACGTTTACAGTGAGTGTTGTGAACATGCACATACCTGCCTAACGCGCGCGCGCGCGCGATCGCAGGATGCTTGCTTGCTACGTGTCAGCAACACTGCCGAGGATGTGGGGGGGGGAAGCGCGGTGGCCCGGCCATTTAATGTTTTAACACGCAAGTCGGTGTCGTCTGTGTGTGTTTTGGTCTTTTTTGGACATTTTTACGTTTCGCGGACCGGGATCGGAGTAACACTACTCGTGGGTGTGGCCTATAGGAATTAGGATACGGGTCGATGGTAGGTCAATGCGCGTTCAAGACGTTAACGCGTTTTTGTTTTTTCGAGAGTGGTGAAACTGTACAATCTCCTACAGTGGCACCGAACTGTCTATACAGAGGGAACAGTATGCGTTCAAAATGTTAGCATTTGTGTAGTACGTATCTCACAGTTTGTAGTGGTAATTTGTCTGTAGAGGGCGCTATCAGTAGAACAGGCTAGTAGTATTGTAGATTGATAGGGGGTTTTGTCGATATTTATAAAGCGTTTTATTACATGTTCGTCAAGGAGGGAAAATAATTTTACGTGGACCATTGTTTAGTCGAAAGGTTTATCAGTACACCGAACCCACAGGTGCTCTCCGGCAAGGGGTGTGGTCCATTATGTTGTGTTGTCTTTGTTTACATTGTGATATATATATATAAATATAAGTCTCACACGCTCACGTTTGCCTGCATGTTGTGTAGCAGGAAAAACAAAGGAAGTGAAAGAGGTCACAAGTGAGCGAGAGAGAGAGAGGAGTGTGTGGGAAATGGGGAGAGAGAGGGGGGGAGAGATCAGGGAAAGAGAGTGGGAGAGAAAGAGAGAGAGAATATAAGTGAGAGATAGATAGTGGGAGAGAAATATAGGCAGGGCAGTTACTAGAATGGCCACTAATCAATTTCTGATGGAAATGACGTCCAACACAGATTTCTAAATATATCGAAAGTTCCATTGGTTGTTGATGTTTGAGGTTATGCTGCTATTCAACTATGTAATATATGATGTAGTTAACAAGTGATTCAGTTCAATGTTGTACATATATTTTGTGTACATATTACATGTTGGTATGTATAAAATAAATTCCTTTTACTCTTGATGCACGTTATTCACGCTTCTGCACGTCGGCTATGCGATACGCAAGGACAACCATTGAAATAACAAAAACGGGAACTGCGGTAACCAGTGTTTTGTGAAAACAATCAACAAGAACAGTAACAAAACAAGTTGATGGTATATGTACAACGTGGTATGAAACACATCCCAACAACACGGCGTCCCATAGCGAATCACGAACAGCATGTTTTTTCAAGAAGCCCCCGTAACAAACATACCCTCTGCACGAAATTTCGAACGCCACTTGAATTGCCTACACAGAAACGACCGATGGTTACGAAAGATGTTAACGTTGAAACCGTACATCCACAGACCAAAGGTAAACGTGATAAAAAGTCTCTGATACAACTGTATACCGAGAGGTTATCGTTGGTCACGATGGTAGGCTTAGAAGAGGAAGACGAGGTGGTTACTATATTCTGCATATCACCACCCATGACTCCATTGCAATACAAATAACTACGCATATTTATTATAACCTTTATAAGCTCCATACATCTCTCCCAATTATAGAAATGAATGAAGTAATAGCTCCATATAACTGACATCACACACACACACACACGCACACACACACACACACACACACGCGCGCACACATTGGGTATTATATTATAATACATATAATTATACATCTTAGCAGGAGTTAATAAAGACAAACAACTGGTTAATAACAGATAATTTGTCTTTATTAACTCCTGATCTTAGTTAAAGTCTTTTTTAAGACACGCACCGGTGATGAACAAATTAAATATATATTATCAGAATTCTCTACTGTTGCTGTTCTTGTTTGGCACAGATTAAATATTCATGGTTATGTATATGTATATATAGTAATTACGTATATGTAGTAGTATGTGTATGTATATAGTAATTATGTATATATGTAGTAGTATGTGTATGTATATAGTATGTATATGTATATTAGTAATGTATATGGTACAACACTGGGAAAAGTGCCACTGCGTAATTATTAGGCGAACAGATACCAGCGCCATCTACATGAAGACTAGAGTGACCGTGGTCACTCTGTACTAGCGATCAACTTGTAGTTCTTCTGGTTATGATGCACCCCTGAGAGCCTTGTATCATCAAGGGGAGGAGGAGGAGGATAGGATGGAAAATGAAGGGGAGGGAAAAGGAGGACCAAGAACAGGAGCAAAGATAAGGAGGAGTCAATGGTGATCTCCATCAGTGTCCTATTTTCTGCTTTATCAGCGTGGCACGCATGCGATTCAGTTCGACCACCCAGTCTTTCACCTCGGGATGTCTGAACGTACCTGTATTAATGAAGCACAGTAATTAATAGACATGCACACATGGGTACATGATACACCAAAGTGCACACGCACGAACGCACAAGGCAGTATATGAGAGTGGGTAACGCACATCAACCTGCAGTACATCTACTGAGCGACGTGTTGTGGAGTTCTGTCCTTGTTTTGGTACAATCATGGAGTACAGTGAAGTTATTCGTAAAAAAATAACTAAAATTTGTCAAACGTTGCAGTGAACAAATTAAGCGTAGGAAAGAAGATTCTCATTGTCAGAGTTCCCCTGTATCTTTCATGGTATAATTGTTGCACCGCATACTCCATATTTTCCTCGTTTTTTTCACGCCCCACATATATTTTTCTTTTTTAACTGGAAACTGGATTTTCTGCACATTTCTCCCTATAAGTAGATCACCCACTATTCTGTGCTCACGTACCGTTGGTCGACTGGTAGAACTCCTGGAATTCTCCTGCTCGATCTTCTAACCGCTCGTACTCGTACGCCTGCATTACCATGTCGAACCTATCCAGATCCTTCACGACCCGTGCCTCGGGCGTTTCCTGCGCCTCATATTCCTGCAAGATAATGCGTGACCCTTGAATCGGAGACTATATAAATGCCGACCTGAGTAATGTCAATTTGGACTAATGTCGTTGCAGTCTCTCATAAGAGCAGCACCGACGTGAGTACATGCAGATAAATGTCAAATTTAAAGACAGGAATGCGGATAACACCATCTCAAAAATGATTGTAAAACAGCCTGTTTAGCTGAACACACAGATTTCCTTTCCCTCTAATTCAAATCATGTTTAATAATGAAATAGAGCAACAAGAGACAGCTCAACTAATATAGTTTGACTGGTGATATATATATATACACATACCTCCCATAACGTGTACATTTCATTTCCTAATTCTTTGCTTAGTAAACTACACATAAGCTTCATGGCTTGCTGCAATGTGTAAGAAAAGAAAAACAAGTATTAGTCATACAAACAATCACCGACCTCATGTAAAATCCCCTTTCAATGCATAAATAACCAACGGAAGACAAAATTCGATAGCATGCAGCCACGTGGGTCAAATGTAGGGCAGAGTTGGCATAGAAGCTCTGTTGTGCTGCTGCTCTGTGTTGTATGCGGCTTCAGCGGTTCATAGGTGGCACAAGCTGCATAGGTTGCAAACATAAAGGTTGTATTACGGCAGCGCCAATTACTTCATACAGGACAGAGCTCACATTCAATATCCTCCTCTCTCACTCTCTCTCCCTCCTTCCCTTCCTCCCTCCCTTCCCCTCTCTCTCTCTCTCTCTCTCTGTGTCTTTCTTTTGCTTTGTTTCCCCCATTCCTCCTTCCCTTCCTCCCTCCCCTTCTCTCTCTCGCTCGCTCCGGTTCCCCCATCGCTTCTCCTTTCTCTCTCTCTCTCTCTATCTCTCTCTCACGCTTTCCCACTATCTCACTCTCTACATTTCTTTCTTACTCACACTATATCACTCTCACTTTCTCGCCATTTCTCACATAACCCACTTGCTGCCTCCTCTGTAATCCATTATCAATTGTACTACAATACCCACGGTGGACGGAAATAGATATACCTCTGTGTCGGTGCTCTAGCCCCCCCCCCCTCCCCCCGGATATAGTTTCTGCGATCATAAATATAGATGTAGGCCTATTCTCAGCAGAACACGTTAACAGGGTATGCACTCTCTCGTTGCTATGCTCGCCTGTGAAGACCTTTTTACACATATATATCATTAGCTCTTGATAGGTATATGATATATATCAGAAGTAGATA